GAAGCCTCTTGGACGAGGGGCGAAACGTTTCTTTTTAACAAAAAAAACGAAGTCCAGATGACATGATTCAACCTTTTTTGTTGTTATATACCTGGATGACTGAGAAAACAAACTTTGTGTGTCTGATAATAATGTTGTTACTGCTCTCAGGGATTCAACCCAACCCTGGACCCCCCACTAATTACAGCACACCAAATGACTTTAAGAACGTGTCTGGGCTTCATTTTCTGCATGTAAACGCTCGTAGCCTTCTGAGAAAACTTGATGCTTTGAAAATTCTGGTCAGTTCTTCTGGGGCAGATGTTATCTTCGTCTCTGAATCCTGGCTCAACAAATCTGTACTCAATAATGACCAGCAATCAATAGATTTAACATCTACCGCTGTGATCGTCAAAAAAAGTGGGGGGAGTCGCTGTTTACATCAGAGATTCTTTGGTTGCTAGTCTTGTGTCTTCTAAAACAATTCCAAACCAGTTTGAAGCCTTATCTGTAAACATCACCTTGAATGGAGGCCAGATCTTAACTGTAGTCTGCTGTTACCGCCCACCCTCAGCAACACCTGAGGCTCTGTCTGCCCTGATGGAATTTCTTGGCAATTTAAAATTCAAAATAGATCCTTTTGGCTGGAGACCTCAACATTGATTGGTGTAAGTCGACCCCCATCTGTGATAAATTCAAGGAATGTTGCCTGTCTCTCAATCTTACCCAATTGATCAACTCTCCCACTAGATTAAACAAAAACCATCCTGAAAAATCCTCCATCTTAGACCTATTTCTAACTAATATGCCTCACAAATTCCCTGGTACAGGTGTATTCGCTGATATTTTGAGTGATCGTTGTGTGACAGCTGCTTTGAGAGATATTAAACTTCCACCTTCTAAGCCCAGATTAATTCAAAAAAGGGATCTGAAACATTTTTGTGAACAGTTATTCCTCTGGGATCTGTCTCATTTTGACTGGCATCGTATTCTGTTAACTGATGACGTGAACTCCGCTTGGAACTATTTTCATAATAGTTACATTTATTTTGTGAACAAACATGCTCCTTTTCGTCAGTTCAGAATAAAGGGACGAGACAGCCCCTGGTTTACTCCAGAGCTAGCTGACCTCCTGCACAGGAGAGA